TAAAGCGATAAAATAAATTACATGAAAGGTGTTTTCAGCGCACGAACTCATCAGCTGATATCATCGGCATTGTTTACGTCTTGTTTATGTCACCGTTGAATTACTTAAAACCGGCTCAAAGCACAGTAAGCTAGCCCAGGTGGGTATTCACACATTGCGACTGACGTCCAGGGTATATTCTAACCTGGCGAACACAGCTCAAATGTAGTTCACAAATGATTTGTATACCGAATTCCGTAAATGCTGTGTTGAAATTACTAAATATACCTGCGGACAACGTATTTTGCAGGAAATTTTGCGAAACTCCACGCTTTCCATCGCGATTCATCAAGGACCTACTTTGGTCTAATAGTGCGCATTTGTGCATGGGCGAGAAAAAAAAACCGTTGAAAAAAATTTCGCATTGTAGGAGGAATTTTATTCCCTAGACGTCAGTCGTAGTGAGATAACGTCCAACCTGGGCTGGACGCGCCTACGCCACTGATACGTGTATACTTACTTAGGAAACGTCAATTTTCCTCTTGACTTTCCTCCTAGTTCCTGTCTTCGCTTACGACTGTGGCAAATTGGTGCAGCACAGTTGGCCACTATGATTTACTATAAAAATTTATTCAAATGCCACAATCAAAGCATATTCTGCAGAAGAAGGCCGGAACGAACGAAAGTCAGTCAAGTTAGTGAAGGCAGAGCACGTTTGTCTCGGTAGTATTCTGCGCGTTTAAAATTGTACCCTGTTCAAGTGACCAATTGCTGCGCCCAGGCGCGCATATGCGCTTCTTATTCTAGCTTCTTATTCTGTAGTCCAAAATAATAGGAATAAGAGAACTTAAAAGTAGTGCTGACCAATGTGAGGAGCCAAATTTGTGAACCAGATTGAGTTTATTGTTTTATCTCATACATTTTATATTGCATTCCGATTGGCTTATTTTATCTAACCTCTGCTCACATTACTTTATTTATATTTTCTTTCAATGGTTTATTATTCACACTGGTTGGTATTTGTTGTGTTGTGTTGTGTTGTGTTGTGTTGTGTTGTGTTGTGTTGTGTTGTGTTGTGTTGTGTTGTGTTGTGTTGTGTTGTGTTGTGTTGTGTTGTGTTGTGTTGTGGAATGGAAACAAAGTGAAAGAAATCTAAATGGGAGACGGGCGTACATGCGTATCTCATATGGAAGCACAGGTTGCAGAGGTTGATGGCTTTAAATGTTCTTGACAATTACTCATTTGTTAGTGTTCTTCTTTACCTATTATAATTAAGAAACTCAACAAAACATCACATAGATTCCACGTTGGGCTGCCCCACCTTAGACAATTGAATTTAGTCATTCGTACTCCAGTTGTCTCCGCAGAAGTGATAGAATGTAAACTTCGAGATTAATAGTTAGAGTCTTTCAAATCATAATGGAAATAGGATATACAGTTAAGCAGAAGTCACTAGCTGAAACACCGCTAGCTTCAGCAGGGTTTGAATCACTTATCCACAACCAAAAGCTGTTCCACTTCAGTTTACAAGTCTCCAGTACAGTTTACGGCTTTTCAATCAAACAGTCAGAACATATAATCAACAATCACATGCATGTGTAATATAATCTTCCTAAGTTTGAAAACAAAATTAGATGAGACAAATCTACACAGCTAGTTCTACAAAGAGTATTTTTTTAATATCTAAGCAAGTATCATTTCCATCAAATCAGACATAAAAAATCCATAGAAAAAATAGCAAGACATTCATTTCATGTTACCAAGAATTATTTTTAGGATGTCGTTTAAAAACAAATTGAAAGCATGTTTCTTTATGATTTCACATTGATTTAATATTAAGATTAAAGTTTGATCACCATAGATTTCATTTTTTGTGCACTATGATCAAAACTTCATCATTCTAGCTTGTTCTACATTATGGCAATTTCGTCACGTTTAAGGTTGATGTTGAAAATACTGCTTTCCCCTTATTTTTAGTACATATACTCAAATTCCGAAATATTTCCGTAAACAGTCTGCCGATAATTTATTATTACGTACAAAAATTCTCTTACAACTATCTTGCGTTGTGCCCAACGGTTTTATTATTTTCAGCAATTCGAAAAGGAGGGAAAATAACATTAAAGATACTTCGAAGGTTATTAACAGTGTCTTACAAAACAAGTCTTTTTCTCAAATTTCAAGACTATTCGTGCTAATAACCTGACTGTTAATAACTCTGTATCTATTGCAGAGAATTTCAATAACTTCTTTGTCAACATGGGACCAAAATTGGCCGAAGAAATCCCTGATTGTCAATCTAATATTCAGGATTTCCTGCTGTAGCCAATCCAACATTCTACCTTTTTCACTCCACTTACCGAACACGAAGTTTTTAGAATTGTCTCTAATTTACCCAGTTAAAAAGCTCCGGTCATGATTCCATTAATTTCCCTCTTATTAAACAAGTTTTTTTTCATGCTATTTACAGGCCTTTGACTTTTATTATTAATTTATCTTTAATCGATTCTATGAAAATAGTCATGGTTATGCCCATTTTTAAAAGTGGTAAAATAATAGTTTTTAAAATTAGTAAATAATTTTCGTCACATATCAATCCTTAGTTCTGTTTCAAATATACTTGAACGTGCCGTACATAATCACTTTTTGGAAAAATGTAATATAATAGCTGATTTTTAGTTCGCTTTCAGAGAAAACCACTCAACCATACATGCTATCTTACAGTTTATTTGATAAAATTACTACTGGCCGAGTAAAATCTCCTCGATACTTTGGCAGTCTTTCCGGACCCCCAAAAACATTTGATACCATTATGATTCCATTCTTTTGTCCGAACTTTCCTATTACGGCATCCAAGGTACTGCTGTGGAGTGGTTCAGGGACTATTTTTCCAGTAAGCAACAATATGTTTTGTATAGATGGCGTAAATTCCTCTTATCTTGCGGTGTACCTCAGGGTTCGCTATTGGGTCCGCTTATCTTTTCCATTTATATTAATGACTTCTAAACTTCCTGGTATTATGTTTTCAGATGATTCAAATTTGTTCTATTCTCCAAATTATGTGGACATACTCTTTGACACTGTGAATTCAGAATCATTCTTGTTTAAGTATTAACAAAACCTATTTTACGTTAGTTGTTGGTTCAAAGATCAGCCGTCATGGTGATATTCTGTATGTCAACGTGTAACTCAAACGCACTGATTGTATAAAGTTAAATATATACTGATGACAAACTTAATTGGAGTAATCACATTAACTATTTATGCAAATTGATTTCTAGAAACATAGGAATTATTAACGAATTGAACCACTTCTTTCCATCTTGTGTTCTTTACAGTAACTCAAATGCTCTTATATTATTTATATATCTCTTACGGTACTCTTGCCCAGGGCAAAGCTCCTGTCTATCTATTGAATAGAATTCTTGTCTTACAAAAGAAGGCCCTTAGAAATATCAACTGTGTTCATTTTCGTTGTCCCTCAGATCCACTGTTTTACAACCACAATACTGATTCTGATATTTAATTACTCCAGCTCGGCTCTTTTATGCATCAATTTGTAGCAAAGGAATTGCCCAAGTCATTTCGAAATATGTCTTAAACACTCAGATACCAGTATCATGCCAGTTCTGCTAACGATTTTCATATTCCTTACGCCTTTCTAAATCTTTTACTTGTGTATCTTATCAGGGTCGTAAATTTTGGAATTCTTTAAGTAATAATCTTAAATCAATTAATGGTTTGTGTGTCTTCGAGACACAACTTAAACTTTGGCTTGTGGATAAATAGACGAGCGATTTATATTGTTTACATTTCTTTGATCTAATAGTAGTCATTTTTTATTGGACTTTCTAGCCTCTCGTTATCTTTGCCGTCAGGTTTGTCCTATGTCTCTTTGTGTGTAGCATTTATTTATCAGTTTAAATACTGTGTACTTCTTTTGCCGCTTTAATTATGTAAATATAATTTTCAACAATGCGTAATTACACAGTTTCAAGGGGGTCTACGGTTTACAAGCTCTGCTTTTGGGAGACCTTCTCCACTTATTGTTAAATAATTGTTCCATTCAAATGTTTCATGTTTATGTACTACCCTGACATACTTAAGTGGAAAATAAACTGAACTGAACTGAAAAGCCAATTTTTCTTTTCAATATTCCCCGTTTTTAAGTTAAAAAATACGTACCAATAAGTATTTAAGGATGATGAAACAATTGAAATGACCCTAGACATGTCTGATTAGCAGAACACTGTGCAATCATTTGCGGAGAAGTCAAAGCATTGTCTTAATGCTTTAATTTCCTTTGCGAGTTTTACATTTCCTTGCATAAAATCAGAACAATGAAGAATGAACAATGACAGAGAATTAATATAATAAATGCAAAACATGTTGATGAAAATAATGTTTCAACTTTCCACTGAGGAGTCCAAATTAGCCAGTCTGTAAACATTTGACTGGAAAATGACAGGTCCGTTGCATCGTAGTATACCAACTGTCGATTACAAACTAAGTACTCGTACCTTCTCATAGATAGCGTTTTGCACCTCAAGAGTCATTTCCGGGGTCAAAACTAAAGTAAACAGACTGATAATGCTGCATGCTTCGGAGAAGTGTTATCTCTGAAACAAAAATGGGCCCGCTCAAACTTAGTAAATAATTGAAAACATATTGCCTAGCACGGATTTGTCAAGATCAAGGGGGCATGTTTGTCGTGAACAGTGCGATGCGATGATAATCTTCACTTCTTGAGATTTTATAAAAAGGTGCCAAAAATAGCCAGAATGCAGACATTATAAGGAATCAAGTTTAAGTTTGTCAAACATATGAATCTCACAATGTATCTGAAATCATTAATATTTAATGACTACCCAATCCTCTCAGAATGTAACTACGAGCAACATTTGACAATTACTTTTTAATTACAGGTTTTGCCTTACATAAACACTGTATACTCCGTGCTTTTCCGAGAGTTTAGGTGGGACTCGAACCAACGACATTCTGCTTACTAGTGCAAACGTCTTAACCATTCGACCACTGAGCTTGCCGGGGTCGGCTGTGGCAGCGGCTCCGCAGCAGGCACCGCGAGCTTATTTTTGTAGAAACTGTGTCAGTGCACATTTGGGTCTTTACATTACAAACTTTTATATCCATGCAGTAGTTTAGAGTGTAGTTTCTTTGCAAAGGAAAAGTCAATGAGTGCAAAATGAAGAGTAAGGGCGCCTATCTTTCTTTACTAGTACTGACTCCATTTGGATATCGCCGAATACAAGACTTTTATATTAATCAAGAAAGATGGTTGAATATTTTTATTACAGTCAAAAGTATGAGGCGAATAGCTGTTTGGCAAAGTGTTATTCTTGTTTAATTTGTGAAATTTGTTTCGACTGACTTTCTATGTTTGTTGAGTTATATCGATTTTTATTTAGAATCCGCAGATATTATGTACATTATTACCTGTGTGGCTGGAATCTACCAAATTTCAGTGGGACCAGAAATAAGAATGGTTTTCCCTCATCATGCGTTCACTTGTTTTTTCGCCGTTACTTGCCTTAACGATTATTTAACTGTACTCTTCAGTTATATGCATGTGCAGGAGTTGTCATCACGAAACAGGAGGTACACCACAAAGCAGAACTTCGCCAGGGCTTCATTATTTGCCATTGCAAAATAGTTTTAGTCTCGTATACGTCAAATTATAAGTACAATCTTAAAACGCTACTGCCTTAAGAACTACATTTTTAACCAGACTGAAAGAAAATGGGTCATAAGAAAAGCGGGATGGTTTGTTTTGTTAATACATTATACATTTCACAGGCCTGTCTTAGCAAACTGCTCGTTCGATCTAGTTGAAATGAGCACGGTTATAGGCAGGAAACTGTTACTGGTAGAAACAGTAACAATATTTTGTTGCTGCGTTTTATTATGCAACAGCACCTTTAAGGTTAAATTACATGCAAACTGCTCTGTGATGACGTTACATCACTCCCTGTACCGATTGCTGCATAGATCAGTGCGTCAGTTTTGCTCATAAATTATACAACCTGTTGCATTCTGCCACATTTCATCCCCTTGGGCTACAAGAGGCGAAAATTTCACTCACCTTACGCTCTGCTTTTTCTTGGAAGATCAAACAGCCCTCAGCTATACTTCTTGCGATCTCTCATGGATGGCGGGGAAAGGTGTGCTTTTGAAATCAGGTTTGCCTGTGATATCACTTCTCGTACCAATTTTACACCTAACACAGGATGTCAGCCTTTGAGGTGTTCCAAAGTTCAAATCCACTATGGTATAGGCATTGTTTAAATAACAATACTCGGATATGAGTAAATCCATGTTAGACTAATGTACTTGTGAAGTACATGTAGACTTTAGCACCATGGTTTCACGTTTTGCCCAGTCAACATGACAGCTCCTTAGTCCTCATATAATTCCGACTCCGTTACAAGGGCAGAACCCATAATTAAAACTAAAATAGACTCGTGATATGAAATGATAACCATTTAATCAAAAAATTCATGAACCATAAAGGTTCCAAAACTTAAATTTCAATATGACTGTACATACACCTTTGGGTTAATATAATTTCAGAGCATAAATTGCTTGGGTACAAATTCCTCTATTAGGATTACATACAAAAAAGGCATTTTAAGCTGACCAACTGTAGAAAACTTGTCATAACATTTTCATTATAAACACCCCAGAACGATTTAAGCGGATTCTTCTAGAGCAGTCACAGCAACAATTGTGTATACAGGTATTTCAGCATTCAGATGTTTCCAATGAACCTGATTGTGCGGGTAAGGCCCCGAAAGAGTCGGATTAGGAAAAAAGCATCCACATTTATGGAACAGCTTACTGCAGCAGGTGTTACTTAACTTTTTTCAAATTGTTGCTGAGTATTCTAACCAGCGACAACTCGATCCACATTGTATTTTGGCTTGTTACCCATTTTTACTGAGCAAAGTTTTTCTCAACTTAAGTAATCCCCTCAGCAGGCAATGAAAACAGTCTTCCATTTTCGTGTTTCTATCTTCATAACAATGGATCAGTCAAAACAGTTCCATCCGCATACAAGGAGCTTATGAATGATCAAATTTCTTGCTTGTACATGTACACATTCTTTTGGTCAATAGGTTTTGTTTTTACACTAAGTATTGAAGTCAGTCTTTAAACTAAACCCTTTCCAAGAAATTTGCATATATAGCTTTGCTAATAATTATTTACAAAATCCTTCTTTTTTCTTCACATTTACAGAAAAACTTGATACATAACGGAGTTTCTGCTTTCAAAAGGATTTCGTGATTTGAATGTCAGCTTTAGTTTTTAATCAAATTCCTGCTGAATGGCGTGAAGATTTTCAAGATGGCTCCTGGTGACGTCCATGTAAGTCTGCAAAAAAATAACACCTTAGTTACTAACCTGCCGTTCAAATTTAGACGACTTTTTCGGCATCTGCAAGATTATTTCTATCCAAATACACCCAAATGCACTTTGTTTTTTAATTTTCAAAATGGATATTAACACGGGCCCTTTCGACGTATGCCGTTTATTTTACTTTTGTTATGGGTGTTTACACGTTTACTCTTACGAAGAGCAAGTTATCTTAATGTGCGCAACCCTTCCGAATAAGTAACTGCTTCCCTTCACATTTGTGGCATAAACTCACGTGTTTGATTTCTTTATCTGCCATGTCCGAGAGGATGTACACCAGATCAGTAAAGGTTGGTCTGCTGTAAGGATCCTCCTTCCAACACGAACACATCAGGGCGTAACTAAAAAAGTGAAAATTGAAACCAACACATTCTCGTTTGATTGCCTAAATGACAACATCACTTTAACATGATTAGCGGTATCTACAGTGCCTATATCGTACTTTTTTTAGAATGGCAATTTGAAACCTTTGAAACTTGCACCCTCGATATACATTTACATTTGGCATTAATATAATTCTCATATAATTATAGGACAAGAACAAGAAGATCGTTACAAGTTAAGTTTTTGTTCTTGATTTTTGTTCTGGTGCTCCTGGGTCAAGAAATAACTACAGACAGGCAACATGTTCAGTTTGGCTACAGCGTCACGGTGTCGAAAAGGCCATTTGATGTAGGAAAATGCTACCACCTCGTGGGGAAAGTTCAAACAGTACAAAGCAGCATACGTTTCATCATCACAGTTGCTTGGCTTGTGCATACGGTATCCTCGTAGTATCATCGTTGCCAATGAATCGTTATGGATTGTCGGGTAGGGGGTTCCTCCTGGACAGAAAACCAGTAAAAAGGAATTAATGTTCAAAATACATTTCAACATACCTGTTAATTTTTTTATTACTGTATGTGCTTTTGAGCCTACGTGATTAAGTCACGTGTTTCAATTTGCCAAAGTGTTTTTAATATATCTTGCATAAGATCGTTCCAGTGAAATCTCTGACCATGGTATAACAAGTTGTTCCCTCAACACAAACGGTTGTTCTTTCAACAAAATTTGTTGTTTCTTCAACAAAAATGGTTGTTCCCTCAGCAAACTTTGTTCAACAAAGTGCGTTCGCCGACACTTCATATACATATTTTTTCCTACTATGTCCCTCAAAAAAAAAACCAAAACACCGCACTGGACAGACTAGTTTTTAGTGGGTGACACGGGTCAATGATGCAGTGCGCACGAAAAGTATATGCGTGGATTACTACAGCAAATAACTTAACTCAAATTTATAGTGGCCCAGGAGGGACATCGCCATTGACGTCAGTATTTGCAATCAAATTTACGACCCTGTCTTTGGTCGCAAATATTGACGCCAATATTCAAGACCAAATTCACGACTTGCTCTCTGTTTTTTGTCTTATTATTCAAGCAAATACAAGCCTAAAGCAGTCTAGAAGGAATTCGTGAGGACACATTAAGATTCCAGACAGAGGGGCTTTTTTTTAAGTCTGGGGTTATAGTGAACAACAACATTAAATTGCAGCTGGTTTTAGCTGGAGTTGAAGATTAATGTATTTCTAATCATGCTTAGCACTGAAGAAGTCCAGGACTTGTAAGTAAATTTAAGGGGTGTATAAAAATGATATATTGGAATTTGGGAACTGTAATAAAGGGTGAGTGTTCTGCATAGTTGAAATTTTCTTCAGAATTCAAAGTAGACATGATATAAGTCTGATTAACTTGTCCCAACATTGATACGGACAGTCCATGCAGAAACGAAGATGGACATTTAATTTGTGTACATGTGTGCTAAGAAAATCCACGCAAAGGATTAACATAATTCAATTTTTAACTAGACAAGTGAAACTGCACCTTTGTGTTTTATCATTAACTTCATTATCAATTTCTGTTTTACTGATTTAAATGGCATTTGATGCCGTGTTTGCTTTTTATGATGATGCAAATTTCCATTTTTATGATCAAATTTATGTGATATCGTTCTAGGGGAACCTCACTACTGGATTCATAGATATGCTGTTCCATATTTCTTTGTCTTTGGTACATACAAATAAGCGAACGGGCATCTCCTTCTCAAAGATATATTAAATGAGCGAACGTTTGGTTTGCAATTTGTACATAAATAACCCATTAACAGAAGTGTCTTCCCTGAATGACGTCACAGCAACAACGCCTTCTTTTTTTCTAGAATGCCATAGACAATTTTAAAATGTTTAAATAAGTGCATTTTTCAAAACGAAACCCCAGAGGGATTTTAAAAACTCGTTTAATTAAGGAAGAGTATAAAATAGCACAAAAAGCGCCTCCAAGAAACATTACTCACCACGGACTGATCAGTATTCTTTTTTTCAATGTCCAATATTTATACTTCACTTTAATGTGAAAAACGGAGTGATCTTACCAAGAGTCGCTATTTCCCACAAGAGAATTTCAAAAGACCACCTGATATAAAAAAGAAAAGATTTAAACTCGGAGAATCATATAAACAGTTCAATTCCACTATATGCAGTATAGCTATCAGTTTGCTAATAACCCTTTATCGTTTTTGGTCTTTTGGCAAGCCCGTGTTTCCAAAGCGTTTCTTCAGAGAATCTAAAAATTTCTCCTACCTCACCAATAACATTTATATTAGCTCGGTTTGATTTGTGAGCACACGAAAGTAAATACAGATTTTGAATAAAGAAAAACTATGAAAATGCACATTAACCCTATAAGAGCCGGGTTATTTTGGCTCATCTCACAGCTGCCAGGGATCCCCCAAGAAATCGACTGTACCTACCTCGACCTTTTAAAGACGTTTTTTTTTAACTCCTTGCCATTATAAATGTTGAGCTTGAACTCAAATGAACTTATAAATTTGTTACTGTCATTTGAATTTCAAGGCTCCTGGCATGTGTCAGCTTGCGTGCATTGACCACCACGACGGAAAGATATACATTTTTTGGCTGATCCCTCTCGGCAATATGTGCGTTGCGCCGGAACAGTATTTCTGGTGTTCACAACATTGGTTACAATACGACCGCAAAGAGTTAAACTAAAAAACCTTTAAATGCTCAATTTCTGCAAAAACAATGCCCTGCGGCGACATTGGGAAAATGTTGGGGGTGGATCCCGCCCCCGGCTCTTTTTGGGTTAATGGAGCATGGAGATGGCATCACCACGGTAACGAAAAATAGATGCATGACATTTAAAACACAGAAAACCAATTCCTACCTCCAATCTTTACCTGAAACCCCCACCAACAAAAAATTAAGTATGCCCATTTTGCAACGTTTCATTAACCAACTTACACATCAGTCTGACTACTGTACACTTGCTCTCTGACAGATTCAATGGCCAGCCATCGCATTGGTACCCGCCTCTATTACAATACAAATGTGATATGTTGATTCAAATCAAAATGCATTTCAGTAAAATAGCTTCTTCGTCTTTTTAAATACAAGTGCGATTGAAATGTAATCTTCACGTATCAGCGTCAGTAATACCTATCACATTTATAAAAACAGGGATACGTTCCATTGTTTGCCTGATGTGGCTGTGGGTTCGATCTTTAAGTTTAATGATAGTTACCCTCGACGTTTGGACGTAGACATCCTCTCCTCTGGACAGTCCAAAATCAGAAACTTTAGCAATCAACTCATCTCCAAGCAGGATATTTCTTGCAGCCAAATCTCTGTGGATTACCTAAAGACGTTTAATGGTAAAAGTAAGCAATCAGACGTAAATAAATGATACAACTGGACTGTTCTATGTATTTTCCCGATTGTACATAGGAAGACAGGCAAAACAGCTGTCATTTGATGGAAAAATTCAGCGGTTGCTTCAAGTCTATTCTCCCGTTTAAAGCCTCAAGCAACGAGCACATACACTGTTATGCGAACGTATTTTATGAAACTCTTACTATAATTTTGATGGTATGTTTGCGCGACCAATTAAATAATACTATGTAATTATTGTTCTGAACCTTATTTCCGGAGGCGCATGCGTTATATTTCTCCAAAAGGGCGCGCCCGAGACGTTGTTTGTTTAGATAAATAGCACTAAGATGCACGCTAAGTGACCTACCCCTGACAAAGCAAGATGTTCCATTCCCTTGGCAACATCTAAAGCAAACTTCACAAGTTGCCCTGACGAAGGAGCACCTTCATCTGAGTCTGACCGTGACCGAGTTTGTCGTAGGTAGCTGCGCAAATCACCCCAGGGAAGATACTCCAACGCAACGTATAGAACATCTTCAACAATGACAAATGGAATTTAAGGAATAGCACCATGAAAATCCATGTACTCCATTTGATGTGGAATGTACAGAGATGCTCCATCCTCCGAATTATCTGTTTTACGTTTAGTAATGAGTAAAAATATACATTTGCTTGTCTTTGGGGTAAAATAAAATAATATTAAATTTAAAAATACGTTCAAGTTTCAAAAAGAAAAATGCATTCCATTTCTTCAAAAACGTGTTATAATCTTATTGACTCTAATTATTCTCCGTACAATGACACAACCGTGACAAAAAACCGCACCCACCAGAATTTGAGAGCAACATGATTTGGATTTATATAACGGGTTTTGCCCTTACCCAACGTATATATTAATAAACACTGTGTGCTCATTGCTTGTCCGAAAGCTTGCTTTTTTTCGCAAGCTCTCGGACAAGCACTGAGAATACAGTGTTTATTAATATATATGTTGGGTGAGGGCAAAACCCGTTATATAAATTAACATCTCTCCAACACAAAAATACATCTTGAAAACCTGATTTTGACCCTTGAAAATATTTCTTTTTTTTTTCTTTCAATTAAAAAGTCAGGAACACGAAACTTTATGTTAATACAATGAATAAGAGAATGAAAACAGATTTTTAAAAATGCATCATGCAAACACGAAATAATCGAAATAATAAATGAAAAAACGGAAGCTTGGAAAATAGCGGGCATAATTATGACCCAGCCTTAAACAACTGACAGTTCATTGAACCACCGTTGAACCACAAAATTTAACTGTATAACTTTGGTTGTGTTATAATTAAAAGCGTCACAATGACAGTGAATATATATTTAACCGCTTGAACACGATTATGGGAACCCATTTGCATCGACTTAATCACCAAGGAACATATTAAACTGTGATTTTTTTCCACTCATGTTGTTAGATATACATGTATCTCTAATACAGAAACTATCAAACACTTCAGAAATCACCTTTATGTTGACAGGCACCCAGCAGTGAAACAACATTTGGATGGTGGCTGATACGCGTCATTGTCCAGAATTCGTCAAGGAAATCCTCCCTCTCGCTTGCCAAAGCGTAGCCTATAAAATCAACGTGGTTCGGTTATTGACCTTATCATTTTTTCACAACTGCAAGGTGGTGGAGTCCCGGCGTGGTTCTACGTGTTTTTTTAATATTAAAAACGGTCGAAAATATTTCATTCGCTGTGGCGAAAGTTAAAAGGAGACGTCACGTGCGAAGGGTCCTGCTCCCCCCCCCAAAAAAATAGCTCTAGAACAAAGCTAAGTGGAGCCAGAGGAAGAACTCAGTTGAATTCAGTTTTAAACGATGGCCCTTTTATCAACAAACCATGTTCCTGTATGAAAGGAGATCAGTTGGAGACTTCCGAGGGTCCTTAATGGAGGCAAACATGCCGGTACTGATGAGTCCATTCTTGATTGCGTCAGATCTGAGCTGATGTTTACATGCTCAAAATGACGCAACATCGCATGGGACAGGCATTTTTGCCGTCAAAGGCATCTGTTTCATTAATCACCTTTCAACATCTTAATTGCAGAATTGACTAATTCCCCGTCCTTCTTCACAGCTCCTAATCGCACTTCACCAAAATTGCCACTGCCAAGAATATGATCCTCTATTACAAGGTTCTCCCAATGAATGTTCCAGCAAGCAGCCCATGAAGGTAGGCAGATGTTTTGATACTCTGTGTTTGCTTTATCCTCTGTTGCAATTCGTGGCTCGTACTCTTGCACATTCTGCATACTCTTTTTGATAAACAAAAGCAGGAATTCGTACGTAAAAGTCTTTAGTTACTCGACTACTCTTACAAAAACACACTGAAATGCACGTTCATTGCCGTATTGAGCACTGTGCTAAATAATGAAGTACAAACTCCCGTCGAGCAATTCGCAAGCTTCTAATCAGTGTACGTTGGTAGAACGATCACGTACACCATCCAAATTGAACAGGGATTGAGTTAAGTTTTTGGAATCCCTTTCACGGGTACTGTATTAACTATTGCGAGAGTGATACCACGGAACAAGCGATAAACTCTGTGTTCAGAGAAGACGTGCCTACGAATAACAATGTCAAAAAAATCCCAAAATCTATTCTTCTGTACAAGTCACAATAATTAGTGACACGAGGTCAGCTGACCACTAGGAACAGCTTTCCGCTCCCGTTTTGGTGTTAGGTAATCACCTGAAACACACACAAACGTTGTGATGACAGGAAAAAACACGCAAGTTAAGAGGGTCCTTAATATATGTGGGTAGAATATCATATTAATATGGGTCAACCGTGGTGGCTTCCCGAATGGAGCAAGGGAATATTTTGTAGCAGGTTTATTTTGTTTTATTTGTTTTTGTTTTGCTTTGTTTTGTTTTTTTGGGGGGGTGGAATAGACTGAGCATTGGGTTTGTTGTACCGCCCCTGGTTGACCTGTTTCATGTTTTAAGTAGTTTGTCATCTCGGAAAGCTACCGAGCCTTATAGCCTTGTACAAGAAGGTTAACATACAAGCTTCGAGTGACTGTGCGTTGGTGTTCAATGCTGACATTGACAATGTGTACACATTCGTCAGGGGGGCTTTGCAACGAATTTCAACACTGCAAATTTACACATTTCCAAAATGAGTAAGGGTTACTAACATGCTACAAGAATCTTTGCTTTGGTTAAATCTATTGTGATATCGCAGGGTCCATACGGAACCATTAAAGTTCATCCCTTTTCCCCTAAAATCAGTTCATATATTATGTCATTTCCTGTCATGTCGTGTCATGTCATGTCATGTTAAGTTATGTTAAGTAATCCGGTCACATTGTATCAGGTGTGTACCATTTCCATCGCTGACTGAGACTGATTGCTCTCAGATGCGTTTTGTGTTCCATGATTCATCTTAGATCTGACAACATTTAGAAATGCTCTGAAAACTGTAGCCAGCAATAAACCACTCATCCCACTGACCGCCACAATCAGACTAATATTGCTAGGAGGTGAAGAAGTCGTACTTTCTTCGCGATCCTCGGCTGAAACAAATAACAAAAGTAAAGACAAAATCGGTTATGACAGTTCGAATGTTTTTTCATTAGTATTATAATGTCGCTCTCAGTCCTCAGTCCGTACAGAGTGTCCCCAATAGAAAATTTCAAAACCTGTCCAATGCTTGCATGATATTGTCTGTTTCACAAATCCCCATCCCCT